GGGGGACCCTAGGATGACTGTGGCTTATAATAAGTTTTGGTTTTAATCAATTACTGGGCAAGCCTCAATGAAACATTTCACAATTAGGATAAGAATTTATGCTGTATCAAGCTGATAATAGAAAAATAAGGAAATAAAAAGGCATTTGTGTACATATTATCTCATCTTATTAATTTTGTAAATAGACTTCTATGTTCGGATCCTAGCCCCCTATGTCAGGAAGTTCACAACTGTCTTGAACCCTAGCTCCAGGAGTTCAAATTCTCTGTGGCAGACATACACACATAGAAAATAAAAATGTTGACTAAAAACTACAACAACAACAAAAAAACCCAATGGCATCCCTGTGTTTCCAAGCTGGCCTCCAACACTTGGGTTGGAGCAGTCCTTGCAGCTCAGCTCGTGGGAGTTCTAGAGTCTTGTTTTAATTCCTACCGGAATTCCACTGAGTAGGTCTTACTATTTTCTGTATTTTACAGATGAGGAGACTCAGGCTTAGAGGTTAGAGTTTCCCTAATTTCAGGTTGCCACTAACAGCTGAACCACACCCCTAAGCAGGCCGTCTCTCTTATCATGCTATCTATGTCACGCAACTCTAGCGTCCTAAACAGCCAGCCCTACTTGTACAAATTTATTTAAAAAGAATGATTCTCTGGTGGGGGTCAGGTAGGGTGGCGGGGTGCTGCTGCTGCTGGTGGTGTTAAGTCAAGAAAAAAAAACTTAAACATATGCATTCTTTTAGAATTTACTGGTGCTCGCCTTCAGCTTTCTAAATTGTGAGGGTGTTAGTTGAATTGTTTGTATTTTTCTGAAAGAAAATGCGTGCCCTGCTTTGGCATTTTACACAGCCAAGATGTGATGGATGTTCCTGTTACCTGGGGTTCTAAAAATTCCTGCTACGTGTTTTTTATATCTTTTTCAGATTGCAGAGAATTTAGACGTCTCTGTGAGGTCTAAGTTTAGGACTGCACTGATACCTCCACTTTGCCCCATCTGCATTAGAAATAAGTAAAATCATGAGCACAAAATAAAGATTTACATGTGGCATAACTTTAGTTGTCTCACTGAAGAATTTTCACAGGCACCAAGCATTTCAGGAATAAAGTAACACACACATCCATTTCAAAAATTTTTGTGTTGTTTACGGAATGTGATCTATAATTTTTTTCCATTATTAAAAATATTCAACTTTTCTGTTCAAGCAGTGGAAAAATATCAACATTTAACTCTCAAACAAAAATGTTCAGGAAGACCAGCAATAAACATGAGCACGAATATGATCACACTGCTTTCTCCCTCCATACAATTATGAGAACAAATGGTGTTGAGAACGATGACTAACGACTCCAGCTTTGTGCTCCTGGTAAATCTGTGCCATTCCTTGGAGGGGATTCAAAGAGCAGGAAAGAAAGCCTTTAAACACCATCAAGCTTTAGGCGACAGTAAGGAGAGGTGATAAATGAATGTATTTGGCAAATGGTAGCAAGGACCACGTCAACAGCACTAAACGCAATTCAAAGGTAACAATTCTGAAGAATTGTCTAATGTCTAAGGCATGCAATTTGAAAGATTGGAAAGATCGCCAAATATCCCACCTCCACCATACAGGGAAACCATCAAATCATGCGGCTCTCCGGGATTGCTTTTCCTAGGTGTCTAGAGGAACCCTCAGAAGTCCGCCTCTTATTTGCTTTTCACTGGCATCACCTACCTGCTTACTGTCTTCCGTTGCTGACACTTTGCCAACTGGGCTGGGAGATGGGGTTCTGCACCTGAGGTGGCTGTAGGGACACTGAAGCTGGGCACTGGGAGCTTCACTCAATACCCCACAGCCCAGCCTCACAAACACATTCACACCCTCCATCCCTAGGCAGAGGTAACGCAGAACCCCAAGTAGACCCTGGTTAGAAATCAGGGGACCTGGACTCCAGATTGAAAGCCTCTGATTGCTACACGTAGCAGATACGAAATGCATTTAGCAAATGACAGCACTGAATGAACTTTAAAGAAACGGATTCTTGGGTTTGAGGTTTGTTAGATACCCAAGTCTCCCTGACTCCACCCTGCTGAGAATCCATCAATCAAAACAGGAACGCCGGCGGCGGAGTGCGGCTCTTACCTCCATCCCTAGCAATCTCCAGGCTCCGTGATGCTCCCCACAGCCCAGAAGCTGGTGTCCAGTCAGGACACCTGAGAGGCACACCTGCAGGCGACACCTGCCTGCCCCTGCGGCTGCACAGACGCTGGTGATTCAGCGCCTTTCCGCCTCCCGGGTTACCAGGGCGACGCACACGCACGCGCACACACGCCCCTAGGGATGGACTGTGCCGCAGCCCGCACTACTCCACCAAGCAGAGGGACCGACCTATTTGTTTCCTTGCTCTGGTCCCCCTCGCCCACCTCTTCCCGGCCATGGTTCCAAAATGCCGGGATGGACAGGTATTTCAGAAACAGCACGCAACTGCCTGGCTCAGACTCCTCCAAGTCAAGTCGCCTGGCTATTCAAGTCTTGTTTTCAGCCGAGCCCTTTGCACTCCCCACCCGGCCCCAATATAACTTATCTTCTTGGTTTTGAATGCTGCTTTCAGATCAAGGACAGAAACCTGAGTCTACGTCGACACAGATCAACTCTGTACTTTGCAAGGTTAAATGGATGCCGAGTGCATTTCGAAATGTGCCTTGTATTGAGAATCTGAGTCAGAGGAAATGGGTGGAGGAACACTTTCTTTTATTTTTAGTATTATAAGGACATCAAAGTATCTAGGAATTGGTATGAAAGGGCAGAAAGGGTGGGCAGAATATTCCTTATACACCCAATCGTCGTGGCTTAAAGACAGAGTTGCACACCGGAAAGAATAAGTTCCACTGGCATCTTTGTGGAGACACCTCAGACAAGTTACAAACCTACTAAAAGGTGCAGAACCAGAGCTGACCCAGGAGCAGTAGTACACTCTAGTAACTCAAAAGGCTGAGGCAGGAGAATGGCTACATACTGAGACCTTCTTTCAAACAATACATTAAAAAGCCAGGCATGGTGAGGCTGTCGGGATGATCACCGAGTTTGAAGCTGTCCGGGTGCCCCTAGCAAGTTCTAGACCAGTCCAAGCTGCTCAGTGAGACCCTAAGGGGGAAGGAGAGGTGAGGTGGCTCAGCGAGGCACTTTTTTTTTTTTTTGGTTTTTCGAGACAGGGTTTCTCTTGTGTAGCTTTGCGCCTTTCCTGGAACTCACTTGGTAGCCCAGGCTGGCCTCGAACACCAAGTCAGATCCCTGAGACCTACATAAAAATGGAAATGACTCCACAAACTGCCCTCAGGCCTCCACACGTTCTTACAGACATATGTTTAATATGCGTGCTGCCGAAGTGAGCACATCATACATTCATTTAAAAGCACTGTATCGAATGAAAGCGGGCACCAATGGAGATAATGAGCTGTTTAGGGGGTGGGGGAGAGTGAGCTGTGAAAGGGTGCACGCCTTAAATTTAAGTTCTCAAGCTGCTCAAAGCCAACGTGGTCTAGAGGGAACCCTAGACAGACAGGGCTACACAAAGAAACCCTGACTGGAAAAAAGGGTATGTAAAGGGCAACAGCAAAGCTACCGAAGACATTTTCTCCTTCTGTCATGATACAGTGAAGAACTTCAGGCGGCAGAGCCTGACAAAGATGGAAATGGTTACATCAGTGTACAACTCCCCCACCTCCCCTCGCCCCAGTCCCCATCCCCCACCATGACAAATTTAGGAGTGAAATGGAGTAAGATGAAGTAATAGCAGATACTGATGGAGATAAACAAGTCAACCATACATCCCTACAGATGACAATTGCAAAATGAGGAGCTACTTTCAACTTCCTTTCCCCCTCCAAAACAACCAAGTGGGAGTATCATGCCAAAAAAAAAAAAAAAAGATCAGATCAGCTTCTCTTTCATTTACACACACACATCATGAACACACTGAAGGAAATGCCAGTCTCTTTCCAACGGATGTGAAACCACAATCACCTCTGGTCTGGTATTCGGTGGACATTCACTGACCTCCCATTAGTTGCCAGACAGGTTCAAAGACAAAGTGATTCAAGCATTTGTAGTTTTTTGATTGTCTTTTTTTTTTGATTGTTCACCTGTATGTTTGCTAGAAAATTTTTCACAATAAAAGCATGGAATTATCTTAATTGGATAAACTCAAGTTCAACAAGGTTAAGATACATTGCTACACTGCACATAGACGGCAAAAACTGTGCTTACCAAAGGTGGGGGAGGGTGTACAGGGGGGCCACAGCTAAACCACTGACCTCACGATGTAGCTTAATGGCAGAGCACTTGTCTGCTACCAATTGTGAATTGGAATTTCACTACGAGTTTTCCTTTTCTGTTCAAATTTAAAAAATCTCAACATCTTACAAATTACTAGGTTTTCAAATCTTCCCATTTGAAAACTGCTGCCCATTGAAGACTACAGTGGATTGTTCTTTTCCTGACATATTTTGTCCAAAGTGATAAACAAGGAAAACATTTTATGTAGACACTTACATAACAGAAATTATAACTTTCATGTTTTCATAACAAATTGATGGTCTAATAGTATAATACATCACCCATTTCATACTGTGATCTTGTAGAATATTATTTTAAGGTGTGTTACTTTTGTTTATGTTGCATTTGTTTAACTCTGTGAAGCTGTGTTACTGTGCCTGTGTAAAACACCTGATGGTCTAATACAGAGCTAAATAGTGAGGCAGGACAGAGTAATAGGCGGGGCTGGCAGGCAGAGGGGATAAACAGGAGAAATCTGGGAGGAGAAAAGGGAGTAGCCGGAGAAGGAAGGGGGCTCCAGGAGGCAGTTTGCACAGCAAGCCACGGAGGAATAAGAGTAAGTTCCAGAAGTAAGAGAACGGGTAGCTAAGGAAAGCTGGCAAGTAACAAGCCAAGCTAAGCCCAGGCTTTCATAATTAAGAATAAGACTCTGTGTGTGATTTATTTGGGAGCTGGGTGGCAGGGCCCCCAAAAGAGAGGGAGAAGAAAAAAAAAAAAAACCAACAATGTGATCTCTTAAAACTTAATTCTACCAAATGAGCCAGCACCATCCTCCTCCACTAGTATACTGCTAAAATAGGTGCATCACACTGCTCTTTCAAGGTTAGATCTTTTGTTTTTGTCTGGGTCTTACTCTGCAGCCCAGGCTAGCCTTAAACTAATGACAATCCTCCTGCCATAGCTTCCAAAGTGCTGAGGATTTAATAGAATAACACACAGAGATTTCTTGGTGATTCCCACTGAAAAGCAACATGTGAGGTTGTTTTCCCAATGGCAATAGAACAAAAATCCCAGCATGGACAGAGAAATCATACTTAGTCTACAAATTAGTAAAACACTTTATTTACAGTACATTTTTTTCTTTACAGAACATTTTTTAAAAATGTATTCTTTATTCACTTCCTGAAAAGTATTTCCATCTTACCAGTAACAAAACCAAAAGGTTACTTATCTTCATGAATTTTTTCTAAGAAGAAAATTCCCATGTTGCTTAAGCTGGGTGTAATCATTACCAAGCTTAATTTTGTCACTTATCGGAAAACTAATATTAATCAGAAGTTACTGAAATTCAAAGTGCAAGTCTGATATACAACATCTGTCATTTACTGCAGATGGCCATGGCTTTTTCACTTAAGTTTCTGAACTTAGAAAACATAAGACACAATGCAGTCTCAAGAATTCAGTAACTTGATTTTTCTCTTAATAAAACGGTTTAATATTATTTTGGTGCCTAACAATAGCGCTGTGAAGATTAGCCCTGAGACAAGATGGCCACTACCTGAAGACCTGCTGGCAGCAATGAACACGGGTACAAGTTGAGTGGCTGTGTCCTTTCAGCAAAGCCCACATATTCTGAACACAAGCACACTTTGACTGCAAACACCAGTTCTTAATTCTGAGGACACAAGCTACAAAGTAAAATATAACTGTTTTTGCTGTACTAATGATCCAGTTTATTAATTTGTCTGTGTTAAACCTAGCTTTCCTGAACGGTTGAGATCTGCATGAATCCAGAACCATTACAAACATGTAAAGCTCAAATCTGGAAAGCTTTTCACAATACTACATTCAAGGTGCACAGGAGACCCCAGTGATCACTAGGAAATCTACCACAGTCCAGTTTTTCCAACCCGACAAGGTCTAAACTTTGGGGAATAAGGTGGCCCTCTTCTGCTCTGAAAAATATTCGATCAAAGCGATGCTTACAAGCAGCAGGAATCCTGAGATTAGTATTTATTCTTGTATCCCATGTATACTGGCAATGTTTAGGTTTGCCCAAAAATTCCCAGGCATCAAAAACATTGTCAGGTAAACCGCCACACTTAGTAACCTAGAAAAGAGAAAGAATATCATGTAAGGTTTATATATTTACAACCACCCACCCCACTCAGTTGAAAAGGTGTTTGATATTATCACCTATAATGTAACTTTTTATTTAATTTTTTGAAATTTTGGTTTTTTGTTTTTTTGAGAACTATGACTATGACCAGGCTGGCATCAAACTCACAGTCTGTCTCTATTTCTCAAGTGCTCGGATTAAAGGCATGCACTACTATGTCTGGGAGTCACACTAAAAAAGAAAAACCAACAAACAAAAACCAGACCAAACCCTAATAATATTGTTTTTCTTTCCCCATTCACATTATATGATTTAAATTTTTGTGAGCTATTACAATAGGATACCAATCAAGTACAGGGTTAGCATTAGTAGCACACCAGGTTCAATCTCCAGCATTAAAAAAAAACAAAGTTTTTATGTGTGGCAGAGCACACACATACACACACACACACACACACACACACACACACACACACACCCAACCACTTGAGTCCCTTTAATCCCCCGTGTGCACAATCTGGGGCCTTCAGTAGACTGACAGGATTGTGTCACAGTGCTGCCTGGCTCCTGAGCGTGTGCCACCAACCTACACACAGACACTCTATTTCTAACTCACCTGCAATGGTTCCTCCAATAGTTTGGATCTCATACACAACCATGCTATCAACTCAAGTGTACACACATCTTTTCCAGTCCTGCTTTCACTCCTCAAAGTAGGAAATGCTGGATCACATGGTAATCCTGCATTTAATTTTCTGAGGTCTTGAAAACTCCTCATGTGTCTAAACTAAATTACAATTTTGCTTCAGAACTGACCACAGCAATGTCAGGAGTATGGGGTAAAAGGGTGATGAATCATGACATATCAGCAAAATTTTTGTTCAGATAACACACTACTATA